AATGACAATGACGAGGAGGACGAAGAAGACGAGGACTGGGGAAACTGGCCAAAGGGCCAGCAGTCTCAGTGGAAGTCTTGGAGCGACTGGTCTGACAAAGACCACCAAGGCCAAGGTGGCCAAGGCGAAACAGCCCAGGCTACGTAGTGGTCTGAGAGTCGTCTTACCAAGGACACGATGGGTTTTTGAAAAAAGGCGTTGCAACGAGATCCTAGTTTATGACAGAACCTTGTTTATGCAGGGGCAGTTTTTTGCGTTTGGCAAGCCTTGACACGGTCAGCTCTTCCCGTGCGGCCGTATACGTGGAGGGGCGTTGTGGGGCTCAAGACCGCGTCATGAGTCAGGTCCCTTATTCCAGCCGCTACTTTGGATCTACGCCAGGCAAAGCCGTGACCTGCTTCAGGGTGCCCCAAACAGACCCACACGTCGAGGAGCGTTTGGGGAGCCTAGACCACGTCATGGTTCAATTTGTGGATTTGTTCTCTAAGCAGGATTGCAGCTTATCCTCCCCGGGCGATAATTAAGGATCCCTGCCAAACAACCAAACACGTCGAGGGTTGTTTGGGGTACCCGCGCGATAAACTAGGATCCCTGCCAAACAACCAAACACGTCGAGGGTTGTTTGGGGTACCCGCGCGATAAACAAGGATCCCCCCCCGACAGTCCCGGAGGTTTGTTATCTATTCAATGTGCCCCTTGGAACCAATATTGTAACTGCAATGTACTTGCATCCTTGCCAAACAGACTCAGAGCGCCCTTCACCAACTATACTAATTTAATTGAAACTGGAGCATGTACAGATCCTGAATCCTCAAGAATCTTGAGAACGAAAAGCCCGGCCTTTGCCAGGCTGTCATGGTCCGGCAACAGCAGGCCTGCCCTGTCCTTGTGTTATCAGTGCAGCAGGCACAAAGTTTCGGAGTTTTTGCCAGGCTGGGCTGGTCCGGCGAGGTTAAACCCTGGCTTGTTTGTAACTGAATAAATTAAAGTAGAGATTGAGAGTGGCCTCCTGCACCAGAGCAAAGGTGAAGGAGGCTGTCAAGCTTTGAGTGAGACTGGCCTCTGGCCTCCTACACCACAACAGGTGAAGGAGGCACGGGAGCTTGAATCTTGGTGTGTGTGTCAGGTGTGTGTTGAGACTTTAGTTAGGGTTTAGGGTTTAGGGTTTAGGGTTTAGGGTTTCGAGGGTTTAGGGTTTAGGGTTTAGGGTTTAGGGGTTCCTCTTGTTCCAGCAGCTGACAAGGACTGCACCGCGGCCCGAGAGCCCCCTAAACCCGAAACCCTAAACCCTAAACCTTAAACCCTAAACGATGTTTGGCTCAAAGCGTTTGGCTCAAACTAGGGGGATTTGATAGCCATCGCACTCATGGCCAGTCTTGGAGAAGCTATTCGGCGCGACCGTGAAGGGGAAGATTTCATGGACGTGCAGCCCAGGGCCGTGCCACGGAACCATGACAATCGGAAGCTGAAGCGAGCTGTGGTTGCTTATCGCCAGCGCGCCCAAAATGCCGAACGTGCCAGGGATGAGTTAGACAGACAGTTGGCAGCTCAAGAAAACTTGAACAACCAGCTTCAGGAAACGGTGCAAGAGAAGGACAGTTTGGTTCGCGAGCAAGCCTACTCCATCCAGGATCTCGTGGTGCAGAACGCCAAGATTGAAAAGGAAAAGATGTTCCTGCAGCAGAAGTTGGCAGCCGCTTGTGAGGATGTAGCCCGCCTGCAGGAGTCGATCGACAATTTGAACAGAATTGTCGAAAGTTTTTCTAGCGTTATGCTTCCAGACATAGACGACGAATCAGACATCCAGGACACGCTTGTCACCAACTAGAGAGCACTGCAGCACTACGCAAGGGCGCCTCGCAAAACGTGATGAGCCAGCCCTGCTTGCGCTCGCTTTGTGTTGAATCATTGCATCACCGTAGCCACATTTTCTCTCAGGACCCAGTGCTGCTGAAACATGTCCCGGCCGAACGTCCCTACGCCATGTTTGCGCCAGTGTGGCCGCTTAGCCTACGGCACGCACAGATATTGCTGCAGGGGCTGCAAGCTTCAGGATGGGCATGATGCAGCATGTGATGGAAGAATGCAAGAACAGCAGCGGCAGCAGCAGCGAGAGAGACAGGGGCAACAAGGTCGTCGAGAGCGCTCGGCGCGTCGGAATCGACCTGATGCCGAAGTGCGCCGTGGACTGTCGGCTGCGTACCGTCAAGAGTTCCTTCAGTCGGGTCCGCGGAAGCAGGCAGTGATGGATCTTGTCGTCGCCTCCCAGCAGTGTATGTCTCCTGAGAGTTTTGATGCATTTTTGCGGTCACTAGTCCGAGCATTTCACCCTGACCGCCACGGTGATGATTGTGAGAACAACGACATCACCCAGTACTTGAACCGCCTGCGGTGTACCTAGCTCAAAGAGGGTGGTACACGTCGTGCTCGAATTGCGTGCTGTGAGGCACGCGGTAGCCTGAGACCGTTTTCTCGCGAGAAGAATTGCGTTGCATATGTGCTAGAGATAGTGTGCTACATTATTTATGGATGTTTGCTATGCGATTGCCAGGTTGAGTGGTGCAGCCGCCTGAGTGACCGCGGGGTGATGCGGTGCGACAAAATTATTTGCCTGCCATGGCCTGCATTGGACTGCATTGTGGCATAGTGTTCTTTGCCTTTGTTTGTGTGGCGCTTGGCTCAAGCGTAGCCCTTAGTTTGTGACAGCAAGCCGTGCCCAGACTTCTACGAAGCCATGGGAAAGCGGGGCGGACCTAAGGCTCAGCCAGCTCCGAAGGCAGCGAAGGTCAAGAAGACAGCTGCCGGCGCTCAGGCTTCAACAGGGGCCTTGGCAGCAACTGCTGCTGGTGCACCCGAGCACTTGCAGGCAACTTCGCAAGTTGTGAGCCAGAACAGCTCCGTCCTGTCGAAGCACCAGGCTAACGTGGCCTTGGTCCACGCTGACTTCGGCCCAGACTTCGAGCAGCAGGACCCACCCACCAAGTCGTGGCTCAGGTCGTTCGACGAGGCAGTCGCTGTTGCGGACCTGAAGAAGCATGGCAAGCACACGTGTCTCATTAATGCTGCGTGGCTGGACCACTCTTACAGTCCGTGCCCATCCATCCCCCTGGTTTGGAGGACGGTGGAGAACATGCTGGACCACTACTTCCGGATGCCGAACAACCTGTCCGAGCAGAAGCTCGAAGTGGTGGTGTTCAGCAGCGACCTGGTGTACAACAGGCTCCCGACGAAGGGGTCTTGGAAGTTCATCAGTGCAGAGGAGCCCGTCATGGCAATGTACGCAGCCATTGCCACGGCGGTTCAGGCGCGCAGAGACGGCGAGGGCGAAAAGACGCAGGAGGAGCTCCAGAGGATGGACGACACCCTCTGTGTTTGGAAGGAGAAGCTCTTGGAGACCCAGGTGGACATCCGCGTGGTGGAGACCGATGTCCAGTTGCAGTGGGAGGCGCAGCAGTACCGGGAGAACATCAATCAGCGACAGTACTTGGCAAGAACTCCTGTGCAGCGCATCTTCGATTTGCAATCGAAGAGCATGCAGTTGGGCCCTCACTCCAGCGATGCAGACTTGGCTGCGTTGTACCGCGAGAACTTGCGTTTGAGCTCGAAATCCGAACCGATTTCCGACCATTTCATTGCGCAAGGCCTCGAGGTGTACCGGAAGGCATTCGCATTCCCGGAAATCCTCGAGGTTGTCATGCAAGAAGAAGAATACCATACTGAGTCCCTGTTCAACGGCGTCTCGAAGCTTCACGCCGTCGTCAACAAAGCGAGCACCCGAGAAGAAACCTTTTGGGTCATCTCTTTGCTGCACCACTGCCGCCTGACCGGTGAGATCAAGGACAACTCGGTGACGTCCACCCGCAGCTTGCAAGGAACCCAAAGGGAGCACAACCAAGGCCTCGTGGACGTGATGTTGTACCAGCACCGCGTCAAGTCGTACCTTCTCAGTGACTCCTCCTTCCCTAAACCCTAAGCCCCAAAACCCTAAACCCTAAAACGTAAACCCTAAACCCTAAACCCTAAACCTAAACCCGTTTTTTTATATATTCATAAGCCTAAAATGGTTCAGGCCTGATTTTATATTATAGACATCTGTTTCAGAACCAGCAAGGTGAGTTCCTGCCGGTGATCTGCAAGCAACTTACCGATGATGTGAGGGCCAAAATCAGAAGTGCTTGCGCAGATTGCCAGGCATACCGGAGCCACGTGGGGGTGGGCCAGGCTCAGGACGCCGTGTCTCTTGGTTGGAAGTCCGGCTGGACTGCGGCAGCTGACGGGGTGCTCGTCTTCTTCGGAGATGCGATCTTCAGCATGAAGTATCATGAGAGCATGCGGGCAAGCCTGAGACAGGCCAAGTCGGTTGAAGACTGCTTGGATTCGGAAAGCAAGCTCGGTGAGGCGTGCAAGGAGGTCAAAGATCTCCTGGAGCAAGAGAGGCTTGCTCTAGCTGAAAGTAACCCAGCAGCCGCGGGTGGCTCAGCCGTGCCCTCAGCAGAGCAGCTCGTTCAGGAGAGCTTGGAGACGCAGTCAGCGGCAGTGCAGGACTTCGTGAAGAGCCGGGGCATCCAGAGCTTGGACGGTGAGAAGATCAAGGCGTTGCAGGTCTTCGAGAGGAAAGCAAGGATGCTGGTGCAGTCCAACGTGGCCTTGCACGTTTTTGCGGATAAGGAAAAGGAGCTCGTGACCAAGATCAAAGACTCGCCGGCTGGAGCAGTTCGAGGCAAGGATACAACGTGGGTTGGCATCTTTGTTGATCCAGCCCACATCGGAGAGCCGGCCACAGCGGCTCACGCCAGGGTGGCCCCATGCAACCAGAAGTACCTCAAGAACATCCTGAGCAGCGTGCTGAAGACCCGTGATCCTCAGCAGACTTCCTTGCACCCAAGGGACATGTTCTTCCTGTTTGACAGCGGGGTCCACACCCATCAACAGAAGATGCTGCAGTGTATCATGAACGACGAGGGCCATCCGATGCCGGCACACCACACGAAGGTGTACATTGCCTACGATGAGAACGCCTTGCGTGAGCGACGCAAGACACAGAGGGCCAGCTTGGATCAGGTGGAGCACCTCACCATCGTGACGGGCGAAGAGTTCACCTCAAGCATGGTGCAGCGCCCACGGCGCTCCTTCGCAGGCAGCAACTTCGGCAACGTGATTGGCCCAGTCAGGCTCGATGCACCCGGAGAGTTGTGGCAGCTGAGTGTTGAGGAGAACAGGGTTTAGGGTTAAGGGGTTTAGGGTTTGGGGTCGTCCAAAAATTATTTTTAACTGAGTTTGGGTATAATAAGATAATATTGATAATATGTTTTCATTTTTTTCAGCTGTAATTTCCCCGCACTGCAGCAGGAGAAGCTCGTCATCTATGGCAAGTATCGCATGCCTGTTGGCGGCAGGACCCCGGGGGAGGACCCGGATGCCCCGGCTCAGCGTGGCTGCGGCAAGCCACGCAGCACCGTGGAGCCCGTGTTTTGGCTTTTGGCACGGAAGGCCCGAGATCTTCTACCAGGAGATGGTGGCCTCCTACAACTTGACGGCCCTGATTGATTGCCAGGTTGCAGATGGTGTGTTGGCCAGCCTTGCAGCTGTTGAGCGACTGCCCTACATCGGCTTCTGTTTGACGGAGACCCACCTCCAGAAAGTGAAGGAGGTCATCGTGTGCCGAGTCCTCAAAGAGATGGTCCGCCCCAATAGCAAGGTGAACGAGAGCAAGTTGGTTGAGATCTTGGCAGACGCACCAGCGTCGTCAACGCAGGCAGGTGGATCAGCCGCCCCCGTGGCCGGGGCAGATGGTGGCAGTGGCAGCAGCGGTGCCGCGCAGAGTGTGCTTGACCAGTTCCAGGCTGACTAAGTAACTTTGATAATTTTTTTTCATATATCGGCTTTATACTAGTTCTAACCCCCAGTTTGATGCAATAAGCCGTAAACTTAAACCCCACAGTACCCTGAACCTACAATACCCTAGAATAATTAATAAGTCAGGCTCAAACCCTAAACGCTAAACCCTAAGAATAGCAAGTACAAAGACGTCCCTGCAGGCCAAATTGAAGGCCCTGCAGGGCGCCAGCGGCTGAGCATCTGATGGCAAGAGCAGAGATTGATTTGAGAAAGCCCGATTCAGCATGGCCAGGCCCTTGCATGTAGCAGGTGGCTTAGGCTGGTTTTCCGAGCAGTTTTGCTGAAGCG